TCTCTCTTTCTTTCTCTGCGCGGCGTATACCCTAACCTAACCTCCCCCTATGAGTTTTGATATGACGGTGCCCAGTATGGGTGCCAGCAGAAGAGGTAGAAAACCACCGCTCTGAACGATAAGGCGTTTTCTAGTTTTGACTGCTGAACCCGGTCTGGATAAACGTCTCAGCAGCGGTGCGTGTTTTCGTAAGCGACGTTTCTGAGTAGGTTTGAGAGGTACGTTGCCGCGAAGAATATTCAGAGCGCATTCGCATATACAGTTGACGAGCCGTGAGTCGGCCGCTCGTAACAAAGCGCTGCGTTGTTTGCTATCCAGGTGGCAAATAGCCTTTAACACTGCGGCGTGCTTCCGCCCTATAGAGCAGCGTGCGCTGGATACCATTACAACCGAATGACTGGTACGTCTCGATCGGTGTACCCGCTCTTTATACTCTTTCGCGGTACGTACACGTAATGGAACGGGTCCGAAGGAAACACGCACGTGCGAAAGCGGCAGTTATCGGGGGTCGACTGCTTCAAATCGAGTAGTAGATAGCCATGCGGTTGGGCCGTAGCGTCGCGGTAGACCTCCTGTACGAAGCGCGGATTTTCAGGAAATACCTGTCTGGCCAGATGCTGTATCTGTGCTCTGTCGCGCGGATTTTTAAATACAACGATGTAGTTGGCGTTCAACGAGATATCGCGCTGCCCAGGTCCCTGATGAAAGAGATTCTGCGTGATAAAGATAACGCTGATGTTCTTATGATGACTGCCCTTGGTAAAAAGATCGACCACCGTGTTATTGGACGATTCCCTCATGAGATCGTGGATGATGACGAGTTTCGGGCGTAGATCGTTGCCGTAATCGGTGTTCTGCGGTAGACCCTTGTGAAACTTTATAGCGCTCCCGTACTCCGTGTTCCCCTCCTGCCACTCTGCATAGTAGAAGAGAACGAGCGCGAAGCGCACGTCGCTCATGTCCCCGATGAACCGTAAGAATTTCTTTACGAAAAACGACTTTCCACACCCCGTGCGCCCGCAGATCATCGACGTCCACGGATGCTTCCACCGCGTGTCCATTATGCGAAATGAGGTTACTTGGCGGCGCTCTTTACGAATATACTATTACAGAGTCTACAGGGTTTTACAGGCTTACAATCGCGGGGGCCCGGCAAGGCGGGCGTGCGACACGCGTGAGGCTCTTACGTCGCGCGCGCTTACTAGCTCTTATCGGTGACGTTGCTAGCCCCTGGTGTGGGTGAGCTCATCATGCACCTGTGAGCTAACTGCCGGCCTGTATGTGCGTCAACCATATCGCTGAAAAAAAAACATAACGTGGACGGGCTGGTAGAGCCTTCGGGGATAGATCGATAAAAGAGATTTTTTCTTGTTTTTCAAATAAATACGTTTATTATCCGTACTATTAGTGCTCAGGGCTGTATATACATTTGTACATTTTTTTTTGTAATATTAGTTACATAAAACCGTACGGTAAAATATTGTTCAGGGCTGTATATACGTTTGTACAATTATTTTTTTTATAATGGTGGTTACATAAAGCCGCACCCTGAATTATTGTTTAGGATGATATATACATTTGTACAAGTTTTTTGTTGGTAATATTAGCGTTTTTGAAGCTCTGTCGGTTTACACGTTTTTGATTCTAGACGTGTCACTACGTCGTGAAACGGAGTACGACGTATCACGTCATAGCGTAAAACGACCGCCTCGCTGGTCTCCCCCGTTACATAAGACCGTATCGAGTCATAATTAATAACAAGACTCGTCGCGTGGTCGATCGTGATACCTTTGACTTTGCAGACCTCTGCGTGAGAACCGTCTGGCTTACGTACCCGGTACGCGTAAAATTTCGGGCCTCCCGATACAAAAGACGTGATATAGCTACCAACACCGTACGACTCCAACTCGTCCGTTAAATCGCCCAAAAGACTGCCGAGCGGCAGCTCGTAAGCGTTATCGGCGTGACGACCACCCGATACGTATATACACGAGTCGGTGTCGTAATATAGTAAACGTCGATGTAATTTCTCGAGATAGTCATATAACTTAAGACGAGCTTGAGCCGTGGTGTACGCGGCTATAACGAC